GAGCTGCTCTACGCTGCGGCCGCCACGTTGGAGGAGATCACGCGGCTGGGGGCTGGAGATGCTGTACGGGATGACAGCGGCCGACGCGCAGCGCCGTTTCCCGCCACCTCGACGCGGCTCGCACTCAAATTATCCCGCCATCGCTACAGTGGGAGCAGAGGGCGGAGCCGGCCCGCGTCAGGTGACCACCGAGGGCCAAGTAGAAGCTGCGACGTCATCAACACCGGCCAGCGCGTCGCCAACGGAGCGACCGGCGATGCCATATGCGCAGCCCGCCCACACTGTACCGAGTGCCGGGAACGACGGAGCGCGATCCACGACCACGGACGTCGCGTTACAGCAGCGACTACTGCCTCTCAAAGAGTTCGTGGGCACGGACGGGGACTGAGGTGGCTTCAAGAGACGATTCCTCGCTCATCAGGAGATGGCGAATTGGACGGACAGCGAAGCACTACGCGCGCTGCCGGCAATGCTGGATAACAACGCCCTGGCTACCCTCACCTCGGCGCCTAAGGACAAGTGCGCCACGCTGCAGTTGGCCACGCTGCAGTTGGCCCTGGCAAAGGCAGCTTGTCTGCGGATGGACGAGGAGGGAGTGGACGCCATGGTGGCGGAAAAGCTGTTGCTACTCGCGGACGAGTTGGACGTCACCGTCTTGGCACAAGACGACGCAGAGATGTCTTCCTTGCTGGTTGCGCGCCACATCCACGCGGGCTTGCGGTCCCTGCATCGCAAGACCGGCAAGGGGGTGGCCGGCCATGCCATGGCGGCTACCACCCTCCCATCGGAGGAGGTCTGCGGAGTGGAGCGACCGGGGGAGTGGAGATCTGCGGGACCACAGGCTCGGAATGGACCGAGCCGCCAGGAGCAGCCCAGGCCATCTGGGGCGCTCACACGCTGCTACAACTGTGGCCTTCAAGGCCACGTGGCTTCAGGATGCCGGGCTCCTCGACAGCGCGGAGCGACACCTCGTTGGGATGCCGCGTCGCCTCCACCCAAGCTCCAGCAGAGAAATACGGCAAGTCGTGGCACCTCACACGTTTGGCCCATGCACACATCTGTCACACACTCACTCGCTGAAACAAACAGGGCTCGAAAATCGCCGGGCGTTGCGTCGGAGTGTTCTGAAATGCGGCGAGCGCTCCAACCGGGTCAGTGGTCGGAGCTTGCCCATCGTGTCGTTGCCGCGTCGGCGGGGTCGTCGGTCGTGGTCGGTCACATTGATGGGGTTGAGGTGTGGATTTTAATTGACACGGGAGCATCGGCCACCATTATATCTGATTTAATTTATAACATCCTTCCCGTTCAAAGCCGTCCTTTGCTCCCCGTTGACGTGCCATGCTTTGCTGCTAACGGGGGCTCGCTGGGCATCATTGGGCAGATCCGCGCAAAAATTTTGCATTGGGGCCATCAAATTATCCGGGCCGGTATTGGTTTCCTCCTTGCTGGCGGTTCCGTGCCTGTTGGGGACGGATTTCTTGGCCAAAATGCCTATCCGTATATTGATCGACCAGGGGTGCATCGAACTCCCGTCGGGCAAATGTGTAATGTTTTTGTCTTCCCCCGCCACGGAGCATCGGGCATTTGCGACGGTGCAGGCGCTCGTGGCAAGTACTGTACGCGTACCCCCGGGAGCTCAGATGCTCGTCCCTCTTAGGTTGCATCGGCCGTTTGCCAAGGGGGTTGCGGATCGGGGGGTCTTGTTGGGACCATCTCGAGCCGGGGTCAATGGACCTGATTTGCTAGCGGCTCAGACCATGGTAAAAGGGGATGGGGACCCCTTCATTGCAGTCCTTAATGTGGGATCGCGAACGGCCGTGGTTCCTCAAGGGACCGTGCTTGCACACGCGACGCCGGCACCCTGTGAGGAACTGCTCGTGGGTCAGGTGAGCACCGATCCTCCATCGCGACCGCATTCGGACCGTGATGACGGATGGCTAGATGCGCTTTGCGCGGGATCAGTGGACCTGTCCGACTCACAGCGTGAGAGGCTGCGAGTTCTCCTGAAAGAGTTTGCCGACGTTTTTAGTCAACACAAATTTGATATTGGTTGTACTAAATTGCTATGACACCACATTGACACGGGTGACAGCGCGCCTATCCGCCAAAATCCCTTTCGGTTGAGTCCCGCCGAAAAAGATCATGTCAAATCGGCCGTTGACGACATGCTAGCCGCCGATATCATATCCCCTTCCAACAGTCCTTGGGGCGCACCGATCGTTTTAGTGAAAAAACACGACGGCTCACTGCGGTTTTGTGTCAACTTTCGGCGGTTGAACAAAATTTCAGTAGCCGACGCATACCCGCTTCCTCGAATGGATGAGTCGCTTGATGCCTTGGCGGGGGCGCGATTCTTTTCCACCCTGGATTTACTTTCTGGATTCTGGCAGCTTCCTCTGGATGACGAATCTAAACCGCACGGCCTTTTCCAATTTAACCGCTTGCCGATGGGATTACATTCTGCGCCGGCAACTTTTCAGCGGTTAATGGAACTGGTCTTGGCGGGCTTGCAATGGGATTCGTGTTTAATTTACTTGGACGATGTCATTGTCTTTAGCAAACATTCGATGAACACCTCCAGAGGTTGCGTGCTGTTTTCCTCAAAATGCGGGCTGCCAATTTGAAATTTAAACCGCAGAAGTGCCATTTGCTCCGTGAATCAGTGTGGTATTTGGGTCATATTGTTGGACGCTTGGGGATATCCACTGATCCCGCCAAAACGAAATGTGTCAGCTCCTGGCCGACTCCCACCTCGGTGGGGGAGATCAGGAGTTTCATTGGGTTCGCGTCGTACTACCGACGGTTTGTGGATGACTTCGCTACAATCGCGAAACCCTTGCATGCCTTGACGTCCAAGGGAGTCAAGTTTCGTTGGGGACCGGAAGACGAGGCTGCTTTTTGCTCCCTCCAGGATGCCCTGGTGGGGGCTCCGCCATTGAATTATCCCGATTTCTCACAACCCTTCTTGCTCGATATAGACGCAAGTAACACGGGCATTGGGGGCGTGCTGTCGCAGCTCATTGGTGGCGTAGAGCATGTGGTGGCTTACGGTAGTCAGGTGTTGTCTCCGGCAGAACAACGGTACTGCGTTACCCGTCATGAACTATTGGCGATCGTTTATTTCATCCAGCAGTACCGCCCATATCTGTACGGTCGACGTTTCACCGTCCGTACAGATCATGCTGCGCTGCAGTACGCCTTGCGGATTCAACAACCATCGAGACAGTTGTCTCGATGGTTGGAGATTCTCCAAGACTACGATTTTGTCACCACATATCGTAAGGGCATCCGCCACACGAATGCTGATGCTCTGTCACGGTTGCCGCCCACTTCAGAGTGCGCTTGCCTCTTGGGTTCGGGGCGTTGTAGGCCTCCGAACGTGATCACTGAATCGGTCCTTGTGGCCGCCGCCGATGCGCCTTCAACTTCGGGTCCTATTGAGCAAGAAAGGAGGGATGCCTTGCTGGGGTTGTCCGTTGCGGAGTGGGGACGCCTCCAAATGGAGGACACCTCCCTCCTCGCTTGGCGCCGTCGCATCGGGCGGGTTGGTCAGGGGGCGGCGAACGTTGACTCGTGGGGGTTGTTCCAGGGGCTTTTAATGCACTGGGACGGGAGATCCCGCCGCCAATGGCTGGTGGTGCCTTCAGCATTGAGGGGTAAAGTGGTGTGGGCTGCGCATGAGCGGCTCCTTCACCTGGGGACTCACAAGACCCTTGCCATGCTCCAGCTCGATTTCTTCTGGCCGGGCATGGCAAAGGACGTGGGGGATCTCCTGGGGTCGTGCACTCAATGCGCACAGCGGAAGCCCCCGGCGAGGGGGTTCAACCCTCCGCTGCAGTCGATAAAGGTTTCCCGGATTAACGAGCTCGTTGCACTGGATATTCTCGGGCCATTTCCCGTTACACCCAGGTGAAATAGGTACTTATTGACAGGGGTCGAATACTTCACGAGATGGCCCATGGCCTGGCCCCTGGCCAACCAGTCGGCAGCAGCCGTCATGGAGGCCTTTGTCCAGGGCTACGTCCTCGACAAAGGTGCTCCGGAACGGCTTCTGACCGACCAGGGTAAAACAATTTTGGGGAAACTCCTCCGCGAGCTGTGCGACCTCTTGGGTACGGAGAAAATTCGAACGTCCCCATATCACCCGCAAACTGACGGGATGGTGGAACGGCTGCATCGGACTATCACGTCCATGCTGTCCCAGCAGGTATTGGAATTCCAGACCGATTGGGACCTTCACATTGCGGGTGTTTTGCAAGCCTACAGGATGGCTCCCCATGCGGCCACCGGATTTTCACCTTTTTTCTTAATGTATGGCCGCGAGGCTAACCCGCCTGTGGCGACTCAGCTGAAGCTCTCGACGCCGCAGGCAAACTCGAAATTGTGCGACCACGTTAAATTTAACATCGGGAAATTAACGGAGGCGCGGGAGGTGGCCATGCAAAATTCGGAACTCCGCCAAAGGGCGAATGAGAGGCTTAGGCTGGGGCGGGCACATGTGCTCCAATGGAAACCGGGGGACAGGGCATGGTTGCACTGTCCCGAGGTGCCACTGGCGACCTCGTCGAAGCTGGTACGGCTGTAGCGGGGGCCCATGGAGGTCATACAGGTCTTGCGGTCGCAATGTGTACGCATCAAGTGGGGGAAGCGTCGGTGGTACGTGCACCCCTCCAGGTTGAAACCGTTCATTACGCCGCCCCGTGTTCCTCGCACACACACGCGTGGCCAAACGTGTGAGGGGTCCGCCGACTCCCCGACTTTGCTGCTGGAGCCAACTCCACCACCTGCCGTGAGGCCACAGGGTTCGGTGTGCCAAAGAGACGTCTTGGGAGCTGCAGTACATGGTATGAGCCCCCTGAGCCCACTTAGTCGACTTGGATTCATGCTGAAGTTTCAATGGAACGTCTTCCGCAGTCTTAACAGTTCCCAGTTCTCACTGTGCATACGCAGGCCGCTGGTATTGGGAACTGTCGTGGTCAAGTAAATGAAGATCAGGCTAATTAAAGATGCATGCAGACTTCTGTTTATTTTGGCCAAGTTACATGAACAGCGTGTTGACAATCGCTGCCAAATGGACGGAAAACACCCCGACACCTCCCTTACAAACTCGTCGAACCTCCACCTCGCCAGGCATGCAGCGTGCAAGTACTAAAGCAGAGCATAACGAGCGCGCGCGTGTCCACATACTTAAACCATTTTCCTCACCACCCGTGTACAAAACCCAGTGTTAATTACCATACCCCTCTTTCCACTGGCGATATTAGTTGGCCGCCGTATTTGGATGGTTTTTCCACTAGCCATTTGCTGAGCAGAGCCAGAACCGAGCAGCGGTACGCGAGCCTCACGATACGTTCTTGGAGAACTTGATGCGATGGACATGGCCCCTTCCAGTAGCTTGTTCGCCGCTTGTTGCAGAGGTTCGAGGTTCGAATCAACCAGCCGCCCCGATTATTATAATGCCGGTGTAACAAACGCAATAATACCATGCTCTCTGCTTAAATGGACGTTGAATATCCCCTGATGCGAGTAACAAGGGTGGCCCAACGTGTGTGGGCATTAGGGTCCAAATCTGCGAAATGCCAAAAAGTACCCGCAAATTACTCATTTAGGACGATGCAAAGGGATAATTGCTCCATTTTGGTGGAATGATTCCCCCAGATCATGGTTGGCAAATGAGACTCATTCTGGCCTCTTGCTCTCACCGAGTAAAATACATGGCCAAACAGGGCCAGCGCAAATGATTTGTTCATCGTGTGTGACGTCAGTTAGTACGCCGTGAGGACAGTGTCACCGCGTCATCTACATGCGACTCAACATAGTAAATTCCGTGTGACGTCAACAGCCCGGCTCGGATTCTGTCATGGAAAAAACAACAGCCTGGCTGGCTTTGCTCTGTCGAAGCTCAAGTCTACAGTGGAAAAGAGGTACAAGTAAGTAAATGCTGAATCGTGTTAAGACTTTGTAGCTCATCGTAGTGCGCTACTGCACAGGGGTGGGCAAACTACTTTGCTAAAAAGTAGCATGTACTAATTCTACAAATCAATTAAAAAAATATTTTTTATCCTGTATTCTCTACCCATCAAACTCATATCTCAACGTGTCCCCCCTTTCATTAACGGGGCTTCAATTCATGCCACCGTCAATGCCTTCAGCATTTCTAATACCCTCAAGACTGCTGCTGGTATCTCCGATTCCTCAGTCTTTAATGCTAGGCCCTGACATTTTTGAAAATGTCCATTGCATCTCAAATATAGCTTGAAAAGTCCTCGAAAGGGTTACGAAGTCACAGCTCAAACATTGTCCTCGAAAGTGGTCTCCACAGCCACGTAAGCCTGTTTTTTGCCAAGGACAATCTGTGTACAGACACCCCTCCGACGTGTGGTCAGTTATTGTCTCTCCCCTGATCATGGGTCTTTCGTCTAGTTTTCCCAGACTAGGTTATAGCCATTGTATAACCACCACCGCCTGGGATAATCTTGTGGGTGACTGAATGCCAGGTGTTGTAAGACTTGGGCTGTGAGGTGACCAGCAATGGCAATACAAATTCTGGATTCTATCTGCGTGGGCCTTTGATTGCTACTCCCTTCTTGCGCGGTTTTTTTATGGGTAATCCTGTTTTCCATTCGACACGACCAACACTCCTTAATGTAATTGGCCAAATATTCCATTGCAGGGTCCTCCATGTCTTCTGAGATAAATGATTGACTACATCATTACAGTAGCATTCATTCAGTAAAGCGCTAAAAACGCATGGATTTCATTACACTATTAAAAACGTAGACAATGTGGGTTTTAAAAATAATCTAGAAAATTAGCGAACGGGCCCGTGTTATTTATTAACGTATTTCTCAACACACGTTGGTCACGCCACACGCATCTCCACACCGCAGCCTGTGACACCTGTTTAATGCACGGTGGTCGCCCATCCTAGCGCTAGCCAGGCTCAACCTGCTTAGCTCCTGAGATCGCGCACCTATTCCGGGCCATTTGTCACAAGCTACGCTGAGTGTGTGCAACCAGAGGTGTGGCGGCACAGCAGCATCAATCGTACCGCTACTGTGCCCTCACGTCTATGCCTCCCCTGCCTTTAGACAACCCGCACGAACCAGCATGGTAAAGTATGGTCAAATAGCCCCCCCCCCCCCCCAACAATGAGTGCAGTGTAGGCATTGGCGTAATGCACGGGGAGCAGGACTCGTGGTTCGTGCCACTGGGTACTGTGCAGGCCGTGGGGGTGCGAAGTTCTCTCCGCGTCCGAATCCGGTGCCAACCCTCCACCCCCGAGGTTGGGATGAACGAGACGGTGTAGCTGGCGGGAGTGTAGAATTGTATACCCACGTTGAGCTTCCTTCTAGATTTGAAGCTTTCGTGACTGCAAGGATTCATATTCTTAGTAAAATAAAATAAAAATTTGATTTTACTTTTATTCATTTTAATGTTTTACCTACGTGACTTTACCAAAAAAACCTAAGTTGAGCTTCCTTCGCGCCGTACGTAGCCAACTGAGATAATCCAAGTGCCATTGAATGCGTCGCCACTCACCTGACATTCAGTTTCCCCAAAATGATGTTATTCTTTGACTAAACTACTAAACAGTAACAAATAAAAAAATGAATTCTTTTTTGTTAACACATTAAAGTGTACAAAAAGCTAAATAAAAAGAATAATTAAGAAAATTCAGAAACCCAAACCCAATTAACCTGCACCAAAAGCATTGCGGTGCTTCTGTTCACGTTGAAGAGTGACATTGGCCAGCAACCTATGCATCCGTGTGTGTGCACGCGAGGACGTGTGCATGCATTTGAGTGCATAGCTCCGTGTGCTCATTTGTAGAATTAACCCATTAACACCTGGGAACAGACCCAGGTGTTATGGGTCTGCCACAGCAAGCCTTGACACTTCACGCGATGGCTTCAAAGTGCACTAAGCCTCGCACAAACGCCGTGGTGACATCCCCATCACTTAGCGGGCAATTGGCATCCGTTGTTGTTGTTGTCTGTAGAGGGTTACCCATACATGCCCAGTTGATGTACTGGTTGCTGACCATTGGGGCAAGTTATTTCCTGGTGAGTCTGCGCTCCCGCGTGTGGACGTGGCACCATGCGTTTCCTCTTTAGAAGATTCTCTCGGATTACGCAAATCGGACGGTCTTGGTTGCCTTCTCGCTCGCGACTCTGCTGTCTCCGTGGTGTCCGGCGTTCTGCGGAAGGGGTCGGGGGAAAGGCCAAAGATCGAGACGTCATCGTGGCCAAAGCCGCAGACGCCACCGCTGCACCTCGCGGCCAACGTTCTCTATGATTGGCCAGATCTCGCAGCTTCTGCGCAGGAGAGGCACTCAGCGACCTCCAAAATATGCCCCTGTTGTCAACCATCTGTTCTCAGACAGAAGCTTGACAACGATGCTGATGTGTAGCCTAAACAGACTGTTGGGGCAAGTGCTGTTTGTGGGAAAATATGAAGGCCGGCATAGCACACGAGGGGGTGGGTGGCCAGCACCACACCCGACCTGCTTTGTCTCCCGAGTGGCAATGTTTACACATACAGACACACACAGAGGAAGGAGCTCCAACAAGAAGACCCCCAGCCCCCACATTGAACCATCGTGGGGGAGTAGGGGAGAGTGGGGGTGGGGGGGGACTCTCACCTGCACGGAGTAGTTGCTGTACACGCACTCTCCATACGTGGGCACCAGGCGCAGATACGGGTACTCCGTCTCCCGCCTGCAAGAAAGAGCGGCAGTCACGGAGAGGAGGACGGCGCTCATGGGATTCGGTCCGAGCGGCCGAGGTCACATGAAACTAATAACTAAACTATTTATTATTTTATCAGGTAAGGCCTCAACTGAGCTACATCGCTCTTTTTACACACTTTTATTTAACTCACGCTGTCTGTTGTTGTCGTCATATCCTCAAATCTTGTAACTCAATTTTAACCCACTTCCCAATGTGGTATCGACTGCAAACTTGGTATACTTATGTCATACTTTTGACAATGCTATATTCTATCATAAAAAAAATAAACATTATTTTTGAACGTTATGTTTCGGCTTGGGTCTAATTGTCCACGCTCAACTGACGTTGGCTGTAAATCACCACGGCCCCTTATGTTATAGCAAGCTTTGCGGCCACTTCCTGAGGTCGTGGAGTTCTGGCATTACAAGTAGGGTCCATTTAATTAAAGCGTGTTTTTAAACAAGTATTTTTAAATATTACTTATTCACAAGTGACCTGGACACAAAGGATAGCTCAATGAAGTGGCGTATCATGTGGAAATGCACGGCCACCAAATCCTTTAATGCACGATTCTAAATGTGGAGGGACAAACCAGAGGACCCGCGGAAAAATTCACACGACCACGGCGAGAGAGAGACACTCAAACACCAACTACACAGCAGGCGTCAGGGTCAGGATCAAACCCACCACCGCCTGCATACCAGGCGAGGGAGACAACATATCGACGCTGTGGCACCCATTATATTTAATTGGCACTCGCTGCAGGACCCTTGGGGCCCTTACTTGACGGTGGTGTTCACCACGGTGGACGACTGCGTGGACGACCTTTGGCTCATGGACATCCTTAACCTCTCCATCTCCTGTGCACAGACAAAGATCCCCCGTTGAGGTTTAACAGACTGTTGAGGCAAGTGTTGTTAGCGAGCACCCCCTCTGCACACACAGACACACAAGTTCACACATGTCGGGCGGCAGGGTAGCAACGTCAAGGTAACACTTGCGCCACGCGAGCAAGAAGCACCCGGGTTCGTTTCCTGACTCGGACGCCCCTCTGTGTTTGTATGTTTTCCCCCTGTTCTGCATGGATTTCCGAAGGTTTCTCCTTGTTTCCTCTCATAACTAAAATAATCGCACAGTGTAACCGGTATTGGCCAAAATATCTGAATGGTGAAAAATTCCTGAAAAATTGCTTAATCAGGATCGCAGAGAGCAGTAGCAACATCGCTCCCCTCCAGTGAAAAAAACTTCGCAGGACCCTTCCGGAAAGAGAATCTTGAGTCTCTGTAAACATCCACCTCTCCGGCAATTCAACAAGAGTAATTAGTAGCATGATTTGGAGCCATGATTCAGTTGAAGAATTACGCTTTCTTTGTCTCTTTAAGTTCTGTTTTGTTCATTATTTTATTATTATATTATTTTTGGTCATCCCATTGTCTTAATAGAGCAATGTCCAATAATTAAATCACCTGCAATGCACCGAATCTCATCACATCTCGGACGTCAAGCGAAGTTGAGCCTGGAAAGTGGGTGATCACCATGCATGGTAGGTTGTCATAGGCAGCTGCGGGGCTACTTTGTGATTGGTGGAGGTAGCTTTGTGATATCCGCTTCTATAGGGCATTGATATGGCCTCGCAAGCAGTGCATTCGCCACTTGTTGTGGAGCTTCTTGGTTCAAATCCAGCGGCCCGCTCTAATTATTATTAGGGCGGGCAGTAATAATTAATAATAATTACCGCAGTAATAGTTACCAGTAATAATTATTACTGCGGTGTATATTTCTCATTTTATCTAGGATTTTGCGTTGCATTTTTGTCAAAGCACTTGACAAGAATAATACATTTTACATTAATATTGGCTGATGGGGAAAAGGGTTGGAGTTTGAGTATTGGGGAGGGGAAGGGATGGCAAGGAAGGGTAATGATAGGAAAAGAGAAGGGCGAGGTTAGGAAGGAGAAGGGGGGGGGGGGGGGTAAGGGAGCGTGATGATAGGGAAAGGGAGAGGATGGCGAGGTTAGGAAGGGGAAGGTGGAGGATAGTTAAGGGTTTAAGGATGCGGACAGGAATTAGTAATTGCCGGAATTATTCCAGCCACCACCAGCATCGCTCAAAGTGGACGTTCACGACCCCCCTACGTCATTCGCAAGAGCAGGCCATTGTGTGCCACCAGCTTCAGAGTCCACATTTACCAAATTAAAAAATTTACACCGCAAATGACTCAACTGGGATTGTAGGAAGCGGTAATCGTCGCCCCCAACTGGCAGACTAACGCCCCGGGCCACTCGCAAATGAGACTTCCCCCTTGGGTCTCTTGCATTCCCACTGGGTCAAACAAAATCAACGTTACTTTTTGTTCTCTTCCAACACAGCATGGTCACATCCTGCTCCACTACTGCTCCGTGACGCGATGGCCACCCAGTACGATCGGGTGGAAAATAGAAAATAAACGGTGGAGAAGACAACAACGGAGACATCTATGGCACATATCTTTGCTTGTATCAAAGTTTTAAATATGAGAATAGGTTTTAACCTTTCTGGCAATTAAATAGGTGTTAAGATGTTCAAATATCAAATAGATGCCTTTTTCAGAAGCAACCAAACAAACATGCTCTGATGATATATGGAGTGTCAATGTATATATTATCAGAGCATGTTTGTTTGCATGTTCACCACAAGTACGTGTGGTTTTAATGATTCCTTGCAAAAGGTTTTTAACATCTTAACACAACTCCTTTTTTTCCCAGAAAGGGAAAACACCTGTTCTTATTTTGACAACGGAGATGTAGTGCGAGAGAAAGGGAACGTGTATCACCTCGCGGAGCGTGGCAATGATCTGCTCCTGCTGGGAGATGGTGCGCTGCAGCTCCGCCAGGCGCTGGTCACTGCCCTGGCTCGAGCTCTGGCTCTGCTGCTGGAAGCTCTCGATCCTCATCTGCACAAGACAAAGATCCCCCCCACCTTTTAACAGACTGCCAGAGCAAGTGCTGTTAAGCGAGCATCTCTCAGAATCTTTATTTCTCCTGGGAGAAATCCGATGAGCTATGAAGCTCTTTTTCACAGACGTCCGGGAAATGTCCTTATGAAAGTCGGCATGGCACACGAGGGGGTGGCTGGGCAACGCCACGCCCGGCCGCCTTTGCCTCCGCAGTGGCGATGTTTACATATCACATCAAGTACTCATTTGAATCTGAGTCGACCTAGGGGAGGACCAGGACAGGTTCAAATGATCGTCACTGGTGGCGGCAGTGAGTGGGAATTGAACTGGGGTTGCCTAGTTCATTGCGCAATGCGATAACCGCTACACTTCCGCTGTCCACTCAGCAACACAAAGACAAAGATCCCCGGTTTAGCATTAACAGACTGTAGGGGCAGGTGCTATTAGCAAGCACCTATGAAGGCCGATACGGCACACGAAGGGGTGGGTGGCCAGCACCACGCCTATCAGCCTTTGTCTCCCCAGTGGCGATGTTTTACGCACCGCACTAGGTACTAATTTGAGGCCGAGTCGACCTAGGGAAGGCACAGGATCGGTTCAGATAATCGTCATTGGTGTTAACTGTGAGCAGGAATCTAAATAAAACTCGGGTCGCCGGGTTTGTGGTGCACACTATAGTTGCACATAACCGCTCTCCACCCATCGACACAAACACGCACGCACACACACACACGCACACACAAACGTGCACGCAACCAAGCATCATCCACATCTTTGCTCCCATCACGATAGTCCCCCAGGCTGGCTAAGTGCGACAGCAAAGCACTCTGGGCTCGTAATCCAGAGGCTGTCGGTTGGAACTCTCGGCAAGAGAGTTAAAACAACGGGACGGGTCTCTTAAATCCCTCCACCTCTGTCCAGCCACAGTGAGGGAGCACTGGGACACAAGTAGTGGAGGCTGAGCTCGCAGAGCCACATGGCTCAATTCCTTCAATCATTATTAAATTTCTCCCCCTCTAGTCTTGATTTGAAACTTTCGTGACTGCAGGAATCCATACTCTTTGGTTCTTTTGGTTGCGAGGAACAAGGTATACCCTCCATCCACAATAACCCTTTATTATTGGACCCTATATTTCCATGATCCTATGAACAGCTTCCTAAAAAATGTGGATAAAATAAGGTGAGATGTGATGTGGCGTATAATTTAAATAATTCCCAGAGTGGTGAATCCAAAGCACTGACAATGACAGAGAAGCTGTCTCTTCTCTCACCAGGTCAAGATTGGGCGCACAGTCGGTACCGTTTTAATCAAGGCCTTCGTGAGAATGGAGAATCGCGTTTAGCTGATGGCGTCTACACGCACGGACTCACCACTCCTACGCTCGTTGCAAACGACTCCGACTAAGCGGAATGCGACATCGTGACTGCAATTATTTTATACGGGGATAATCTTTTCAATGTAAAACTATTTTGCTGGATTAAGCCTTTATTGTTCCAATTCCATCTCATTCAAACATATCATGTATCACGTTTCACGTTCATTTTGTTAAAGCAGGCAGGTGAGACTTCAAGAGAGCAGGATTAGAGACTCGCTCGCCGTGTGCGACCCCCTGCGTCACCAAAGTGGCCAAAGCGATGTAATGAAAGGGAATCGGGATCGGAGCAAAAACACGCAAGTTGTCTCGGACAGATTACTCTGAATACTTTACTCGTTAAAAATAAGTCACGTCGTGAGAAGCCAAAGAGCTGAATAGGATTGACGGGGTAACGGGCAAGAGGCCGTTGCAGCGACGGAAGTGAACGAAGCGCGACAAAATCAGCGGCGCAGTTTTGGCAGCTCAACAAATACTGCCCACTTCTGATGTCCACCCGCTGCAGCTAAGATGCTCGCAGTGGTGGAAATATGGCCTGTGGGCCCTTTTCAAGTGGTAGGCCTCACGTGACCACGCACAGAACGTGTGATGTGAAGCTGTTGGCCGTGTGTTACCCATGGGCCCTGGGTTCCCCCCCACCCCACCCCCCGCTGCAGGAGGAATTCCAGTTCATAGAAACGTTTGCGTCGTTTGAGCCGTGTTTTTGCCAGGTCCTTGTCTCAATACCCCTGACCCCGTGACCTCTATATCACCTTCATGCTGGACACCTCCCTGTCCCTCTCGGCGGCCTGGTCAGCGAGCTGCGACTCGTAGCGGCGTCGCATCTCCTCCATCGACGCCTGGTTCGAAGACTCCCTCTCCGACTTCAGGGACATGAGCTGAAACGATCGTAAACGGAATGCCAAGACGAGATTGAGAATCGAAATCAACAGATCGCTCGATTGTCCACGCTGCTACCATCCGTAACGTCGCCACCCGAGACACCGCCAACGTGGTGCGCATCATTCCACTGCTGGATGGTAACGTTCCCATGTCACATTGGGGGTTTATATGACCATACTTCACCATGCCAGTTAGTGTGAGTTCCAGTTAAAGTTTATGTTGTTTAACCAGGTAAGAACTCAAGAGACAAGGGGAAGTCTCATTTGCAAGAGTGGCCTGTCATGTGACCTGAGGCTTTGATATGCCAGCAGGGAGCTATGATTTATACGTGCAATTCCAATTGAGTGTTTTGCAGGTAATATTTAAGTATTCAGTTTAACCGATTATGTTTACACTGTACTTTTAGCTATGGGATGAAACTGGGGAATCCGGAAGAAACCCATGCAGCACATGGGGAGAGAACATACAAACTCCACACAGGAAGGCACCCGAGTCGGGAATCCAACACAGGCCCTTTGCTGTAAAGTGACACAGGTGTTATGTATGTATGTAGAACTTTTTTGGCACCGTACATAGCCAACCGCGCTAATCGGAGGTGTGTCGTCACAACCGCCCGGCAAAAAAGCCTCCCTTCATTCACCTGACACTGCATCCGTTGCTTTTTCCCGTTTAAATCGAATTGAACAAAAATATAATATTCTAAAATTAGCAATTGTGCTCGTCTCTCCTGATCTGCATGACAGCTGGTCACCGTCTCGGTTTCACGGAGGAGCAAAATGTCAACAACAACGTCTCTCCATCTGCTGCGTTAAAGGGCATCGGCTGCCATAGTTGTCGCTATACCTGTGCCTGGTACTGCTCCTGCTGCTGCCTCTGCTGCTGCAGCACCGACTCGTTCTTACGCTGCAGAGACTCGCACTCGCTCCGCGCCGCCTGCAACGCTCGCTTCATTTCCTGCAGGCTCAGCGAGTCAGCTGTGCCGGATGCCAGGGACTGCTGCTCACGTACACGCGCAGAACACAAAGATCCGGTTGCCGAACGAATACATAAGGACGTGCTCGTTACACACAAATGAACCACAATACTTTGCTGATCTTGTCAAGGAACGTAAACCGTCACGCAAACTCCGGTCATCCTCCAGTCTGCCCGGCACGCCCTGACGCACTTCACAGCCGATTATTAAAACAAGTGCTCGCGAAGAAAGCTTCTCCTCCGCGTCTGTACCTGCAGCTCCAGGTTGTTTTTCTGGAGGTTGCTCGCCAGCTGGGAGTACTGCTCGGCGAGTTGCCCCTTTTTCACGGCTTCCTCGGACAGGTGCAAGCGAGCGTTCTCCGAGCTCTGGTGACACACGAGGGGTCGTGCGTGGAGGTGATAACATTGAAAAGCACAGCCACTGGCACCTCAATAAGTCTCTAATCCCACATTTCCACGACCAATTCTAAAGCTGTCGAGAGTTGTCACGACGCTGCTGCTGTAATAGTGGTCTGGAATTGTAATCCAGAGGTTGCCGGTCCAATCTCCCTGCAGGGCAGTTGAAACGATGTTGCTAATTTCTTTAATCCCTCCACCTATGTCCACGCAGTCGTGTAAATAGCTCCGCAACAGTGAGTCTATCAGCAGATTGTGTTTTGCGGTGCTATATGAGCAGTGGACAGAGCTAACCTATGTCGTGGTTGAGGCCATCTGAGTAGTGGGTGGAGTCACTAGAATAGTTGGTGGGGCCACCTGAGTAGTGGGTGGGGCCATCTGAGTAGTAGGGGGAGGGGTGCTACCTGAGTAGTGGGGGGAGGGTTACTACCTGAGTAGTGGGTGGGGCCATCTGAGTAGTAGGGGGAGGGGTACTACCTGAGTAGTGGCCTATGAACAGCAGGCGGAGCCAATGTCAGACAGAACAGGGGTGGGCGTGGCTATGTAAAAGTAGGCGGGGTTAATGGAGGGAGGTGTGGCCAGCACCCCCCACGCGTGCCGATTGAGCCTCCCACAGACATTGTGGTATAACTTTAAACCGGCCCCTTGTGTGGCCTCTTACCCGGACATCATCCTGCAGACGGGCGAGCTCGGTGGTGAGCGCCCCGAAGGTCCCCATCACCAGCTTCATGGCCCTCTCCATGGACGACTTCACCTGCAACCCAAATCCCCGTGGAACTTAGTGGATGAGTTAACTCGTCCACGGATTCCTCAGTAACTGAGGGTTCGTGACTCAGTGCCCTTAACACTCAATAAACTTGAAGCTTGTGTATAAGCAGCTATAACTTCCAAGGATACATGCATGCACATGCACACGTGTGCGCGCAAGGTAAATGTAAAGATCGTTTTAGCTTTGCAGACTGTCAGGGAAAGTGCTCATAGCGAGCACCAAATAAAACCAGCGTGGCACACGTAAAGGGCGGAGAGGGTGGTGTGGCCTCTTTTGAGGCCGAGTTTACCTAGAGGAGGGGCCCAAGGGCCTTAGCAATGGCCAGGAATCAAACCCAGTTGGGCGGGTTGTTAGCGCCGTGTGCTAACCAGTTGAGACTTCCGCATTGTTTCTCGTTTCCTCTGCTGGACAGAGGATCGCAATGCCCCAATCGTGACATTTCATTCAAACGACAGAGGGGCAGTGGGCATAGCGTGGTTGGCATGGGCCCTGGTGTAAGGGTCTAAATGGGGTAACCCCGCTATTCCATTCCTCCCACCCATCCGACATTTAGCCCAAACACCTGGGCCCCTCCTCTGCCTGGGCCCCTCCGCTGCCTGGGCCCGGTGCAGTTGCACCGCCTGCACACGACTCGATAGCTGCTCCACTTGGGGCGGTGGGCGAGTGGTGATGCGTTTTGGTGCTGTGCGAGCGAGTGGGCGCGCGGGATGCTCCTCACCTCCAGCAGTCCCCGCAGGTGCAAGCGCACCGTGTCGGACGTCCCTCCCGGGATCTTCAGGTCGAGGTTGTCGACGTCGTTCTGTGGGCGGGGCGACGCGGACACGTCAACTCCCGCTCTAGAGGCGGTTATTCCGGATTCCACGACGCGATAATCTCTGTATCTCAAATCACGTGACTTATGTATGGCCACTCCCACTCTGAATCCCATACCTGTCAACCACCTAATCAGTACCTACCACATTACAGACCAATTCAGACCTTATTGGTCACCCCGTGCCCCTTATAAATCTCAACGTTCATTCTACAAAGTCCCATCACAAGGGAGAAACACAAACAAATAGACAAAAAAAATGTTTGCCCGTATTGAAACGGCTGTACAAGAATACGGGTAAACCATATGGGTTGATAACTACGGAATCCCTCCCCACTCTGCCCCACCGCCGCCCGCTGAGAAACAGACTCTGCTCCTCCACGCAGCTCGCTTCTGCTCGCTCCGTCTCTACTCTTGATGCGCTGGAGATTTCCGGGGATATAACTAACAGGGCGAGCTCGCATGGTGTGTCGGCGAGTGCACATTACTCGCAGTGCGGAGGTCACCCCGTTTGAGTCTATCTCCCGGTGCGGCAGTGGAAACGACGGTGCCAGTTTTTCAAATCCACCCCTCCCTACCCCGACCCCACCCAGCAGTAAAAATGGGTTCACCGCAGTTAGTTGACTGGCAGGTCACGTGGGGTGGTGGGGGTAAAGTGTGGGTGCGTCCACCTCTTCGCGGACGTTTGGTCAGTGTGGAAGAGTAGACCGAATACCGCCTGGAGAAGCTCTCTGCCGCTCCCACTATTGGGCTCTCTTGATCCCCCCTTTAGCGGAAGCCATTCGGGCCAGCAGCGACCCTTCCGCCAGAGGTGGCACGAGTAAGAAATCCCAGGGCTGCCCCTTTATCCTTTGGAAATGGCTATCAGACCGAGCTATGAACCCGTGCTGTGACCAGCACGGTGAAGCATGGTTACACAGCAGCCGTGGCACCGTCGTCGTGTTGTCACGAGCGTTCGTATATCCAGCTGCTCTCTGCGTTATTCAAAAGAGCAAATGCCGGTTGTGTTGAATGTGCCGCCCGTGTGTCGTGCATACAGGGTGACCCAAAAACCAGGACACATAGGGTTATTATATATATCACATCGGGTTATTTAATGTATTTTAACTAATGTTCAAACTGACTTCCAATAACATGAATGCATCCACGAATTATTATTTGAAATACATATAGACGTTTTTAAAAAAAATATTACAGCTGTGTAAATCTTTGAACATTCATCAATTAAGTTTTGTTGTCTCAGTTCGCTCGGGGTTCTTGGTCGAGTTTTGTCAACGACAGATTTGAGGTGATAAGAACGGGAAGAAGAAAAAGAAATACGAATAATGACAATCGAAAAAATATTACCTGAAAGAATAAAACATATTTTAACACCAGTGTTCAACTAAATTAAATAGTCCTGTGTGTCCTGACTTTTGGGCCACCTTGTAGATCAAGAGTGTGGTGAATGTGTTTCGTTATGGGCCCGCATCCTGATTCCTTGTGAGCGCTCATGCATAGACATCGGACTCAATTACCTTTATCGCTGGGCTGTCCAGGGATTTCAGCCTGGAAAGCAGAAATGTTGCCGCAGTTAGTGATCTCAGTTGAGTGTTAACTCGGGACACCAAGTTGATATTGTTGAACTGCGTGAGAACTCGAGAGACGAGGAAAGAGTCTCATTTTCAAGAGCGACTTGGATCAGGGTCATAACATCTCCAATTAGCACAGTTGGCTACATACAGTGCGAAAAAAGTTCAACATACGTACATACAGAGCAATGAGACATTTTTTGCCAGTAGGGGGCGATGATGGCTACACACAACCTCAATTGAGTAATCGGCGATGGAGTTTCAAAATTTGGCAAATACAGACCCTGACGCTGGCACACAATAGCTTACTCTTGCGAATGACGTCACGGGATCAAAACGTCAAATGTGAGTGAAGCAGATGACGCGTAGTATTATTACGGTTCATACCACACAAAGTAGCAATAATCAGGGTGGCCGCTGGATTCCAACCGCGAACCTCTGCAAAGAGTGGCGAACTCGCTAGCACTGGGACGCGTCACTGGTAATGACCAACACCATAATCAGCTCAGCCTCACGCCAGCATACACAATGCAACATACTAATAAACATGCTACCAAACATGCTTCCACAAACAGGGTGGTGAATAGGAGGGAGAGGCCTTTGGTCATCTTAGAGAGATGATATAGTCATCCTCTCGGCCGAGTGTTGACATCCCCAGCGTTTAACAGTACTCTCCTTTTTGTATTTGGATTGTCAACCAACACCGAGTAAAAAACATGTTGCGCCTATTGTTCTCTTTTAGCCCCGCCCACCACCCCCAACACGTTCCATTCATTGGCTACCACATGCAGATAAGCCCCTCCTCCTCCCTTAACTTGTATTTAAGAGCTTGTCTCTTGGAATTTTGCCTCACTTGATACAGTAAATCTAGCTGTGACGGTCTCACTTGGTGACGGAGACTTGTGTTGCCTCCGAAACGTCGTGATTTTTCATTTTATTTCTATTATTATTTCTATTATTTTTACTTTTATTATTTATTTTTACCTACGTGACTTTACCGAAAAAACCTATGAGTATGCATCTGGGTCTGTCCCATGACCTCCTGCCAAACAACAGGCCTTGGACACTTCACGCGACCTCAAAGTGCACCTAGCCTGGCAATTGATTAGAGGTGACGTCATCGTCACTTTGTGGCGAATGACGGCTGTTGTTGTTGTTTGTGTGTGTCTGTTTGGTGATGGCGGAGTGGGGAGCGGTAGTGTAGCGGTTAGCGCGCTGTGCTATGAACCCGGCGACCTGGGTTTGATTCTCGCTCACGGCCAACACCAGTGGCGATTACCTGAACCGGTCCTGGCCCTCCCCTAGGTCGACTCAGCCTCAAATGAGTACCTGGTGCGATGTGTAAACATCATCACTGGAGAGACAAAGGCGGTCGGGCGTGGTGCTGGCCACCCACCCCCTCGTGTACTGTCCCGGCCTTCATAGGTGCTCACTAATAGCACTTGCCCCTATAGTCTGGTAAGGCTATATGGGGGATCTTTGTCTTTGGTGATGGCAGAGAGGGAGTGGTGGGGGGGGGCAGCACCTGGTACGTAGGCCCTGCACGTTGGTCTCCAGGCAGGTGTAGAGTTCGCTCGACGTCCCGCGCAGCTCTCCCAGCAGATCACTCACCGGCTGCAGCTCCTGGCTGAGAAGCGCGTCGTGCTGCCGCGACAGCTGGACACAGCGTGAAACACCGAGGTAAAGATCCCCCGCGTGGCTCTTTTAAGCCCCGATGGGGTGAATGCTGCGAGCGGAATGGGCCGGCGTGGCAAACGAAACTCCACATACGAGAACACACGGCCAAGGCAACAAAGGAGTGGCTCAAGAAGAAGCACATTAAGGTCCTGGAGTGGCCTAGCCAGTCTCCAGACCTTAATCCCATAGAAAATCTGTGGAGGGAGCTGAAGGTTCGAGTTGCCAAACGTCAGCCTCGAAACCTTAAGGACTTGGAGAAGATCTGCAAAGAGGAGTAGGACAAAATCCCTCCTGAGATGTGTGCAAACCTGGTGGCCAACTACAAGAAACGTTTGACCTCTGTGATTGCCAACAAGGGTTTTGCCACCAAGTACTAAGTCATGTTTTGCAGAGGGGTCAAATACTTATTTCCCTCATTAAAATGCAAATCAATTTATAACATTTTTTACATGCGTTTTTGTGGATTTTTGTTGTTGTTATTCTGTCTCTCACTGTTCAAATAAACCTACCATTAAAATTATAGACTGATAATTTCTTTGTCAGTGGGCAAACGTACAAAATCAGCAGGGGATCAAAAACTTTTTTCCCTCACTGTACGTGACTTTACCGAAAGAATCAAAGAGTATAATATCATAAGGGCTCGGGTTAAAGAGACAGTGATGGGAGGAGGGAATTCCAGAGTGGAACGGTGCGAGGAGAAAAGCAGAAAGGGAACCGATGTGACCTGCAGTGTGGTGAGTGGGTGGTGAGTGCGTGAGTGAGTGAATGGGTGGGCGAGTAGTTTGGTGAGTAGTTGGGTGGATCAATTAGTGAGCGAGTGAGTGGGTAGGTATGTTGTCGTGAGCTGAAGTGTGGTAGTGGTGGTGACTGAAGTGTGGATGAGATGAAACGGTAGGTTGAATTCCTGTGGAAGTTCACAGGAACAGCAATCACAGGAACAGCAAGTAGCGATGGAACTGTGACGAGGAGGCGAACATATTACAAAAATTAACTAAATAATTGCTTAGTATTTTACCAGGTAAGCCCCACTAAAGCTGTAGAGCTCTTTATAAGGAGCGACCTGGCCATCATACATGAGAGAAACTCAACGAAGTGGCTTATCACGTGGATATTTATAGCAGCCAAATACTCTGAATGGGGGGAGAGTAAGGGGGGGGTGGTCATACAATGTGAACCCGTCGCCATGGTCATGGTGCACCCACCGTTTTCGGGCTGGGGGGCGCGGGGGACACGGGGAACTGGTGCTGGGGAGGTGGAGCGACCGGAGGAGGCGACACGAGGGGGGACACGGAGTGCTGCTCGTGGGGCGTGGGGGCGGCCGGGGAGGGCAGGCGCCTGGCGGGTCGCGGCGGCTCCGTGTGCATCACCTCCACCTTGCTCGCCCGGCCTCTCATCTGCACACAAAGATCCAAGGCCGTAGCCATGGAGTCAACATTGGGGGGGACCACATCTTCCAGGGTGTCTGGGGGTCCCAACCCAGAAAAATATAAAAATTAGAAAACTCATCTCCTGTCTAAAATATTTTTAAAAATTCCTAACGCGTTTATTATTAATACAGTATTGTATTACATTGCTCTGTTTTTACTTTTTTACCATTTCTTGTTTCATTGTATGTAATGGCAGAGATTAGGGATTAATAAAGTACAACCATAACCAAAATCATATAAAAATAAATCTATGCATTGATTTATATGAAGACAAGTCCATACATTGTGGCCAAGGTTTAGAAAATTGTTGTTTTTATTATTTTTTATAGCAATATATTGGGGGGGGGACAATTTGAGCATATTTGAATATATTGGGGGGGATGTGTCCCCCCCAATATATTATAATTACGGCCTTGCAAAGATCACGCCGATAGCCTTCACGGATTGTCGGGGCGAGCGTTGTTAGAGTAACGCCCATGGAGGCTGGCACGGCACGCGAGGAGGTGGGTGGCCAGCTAGACGCCCGGCCGCCTTTGTCTCCCTCGTGGCGATGTTTACAACACCGCACCAGGTACTGTACTCATTTGAGGCTGAGTCGACATAGGGGAGGCCCAGGACCAGTTCAGATCATTCTCAGTGGTGTGGGTGACCGCGAATAGGAATCGAACTCGGCTCGCCAGGTTCCGAGCGCAGTGCACTAGCCGTTACACTACCACATTTGCGCGCGCGCACACACACATGGGTACACATGGCATGTGTGTTTAAATAAAGATCTCCAATGTTAGCCTACACAATCTGTTGTGTGTCCAGCACCGTGCCCTGCCCGGGAGGGGCACAGTTGGTGCATCGGCCAGTCATCTGTCAGTCGACCCTTGACACCTGGGTCTGTCCCGTGACCTCCTGCCAGCGGGCGTTTGACACTTCACGTGGCCTCAACATGTACATAGCCTGGCACAAGCACCGTGGTGACGTCACCCCATTTAGTGGTGAAAGGCGGTTATTGTTGTTGTTCTTGTGCCCTGCCACATTTGTCTCCCCAGGGCTGCTGTTTGCAGACTGCACCAGACACTCATTTACATGCCCATGAATGGCTGAGATAGCCACCACTGACATTAGCTGTGGCCCGGAATCGAACTCTGGGAACCGGAGTTTGTAGCACATTGCGCGATTCACACAAATAAATTGTCAAAATAATAAAGAGCCAAAAAAAACAGCGCAATTAAAACAGTTTAAAATGTAGGAACCGGAAAGTTTAAACGAGTATTTATACAGGAAACTCGTCGATAAATTAACCGAGAGATTACCGTAGAATGTCTTCAAGACAATTAAAAAACTCATTTGATGCAGTTGCGGTCAGTGATATAAACGTTGAATGCTGCCTAAGTGTAACGCAGGCCCGCTATCGTTGCATGTTCGATGGATATAAATTTATAATGAATGTTTCATATATTAAAACCACTTGGCCCCTGAGCAAAATAATTTATGAGCCCATTAAGAATTGCAAGAATTAATTTGTATGCGTGGCAGAAGGCGTTCCGACATTTTTATGAGTCGGGTTTACCACAAGAAGTACGAGATACGACTTGACTCTTACTCTTTAGTTCTTTCGGTAAAGTCACTTCGGTATAAAATGAAATGAATCACGACGTTTCGATCGCAACACAAGCGGTCGTCCTCAGGCGGAAAAAATATCATCCAGCAGTTCCAGTGCTGGATATTATTTATTTTATTTTCAACCTACGTCACTTTACCAAAAGAACCAAAGAGTATGGATTACTGCAGTCACGAAAGCTTCAAATCAAAACTTGACTCATCTAAATCAACTCAAACCTCCCGTAAGTCACGTGACTTCTAACCCCGTTCAGGTGGAACAGATGGAGCCCACATGTTGCTGTGCCATCTTCTCCTGGCCAGCCACGGTACGGAGGCCTCCTCGACGCCCCCAGGAAGGGGCGTTCCACGACTATTTGTTATCCACGAAATGCTTGTTCGACAGAGGAAGGCGTCAGGCCAAACGAAGACCCGGCTCAAAACCCTTCGAAGCTGTGATCCGTGCCAATTTGTACGCCCACATCGCCATTAAAGCGAATTGGCAAGGCAGCAGAAGCCACACATTTCGTGAGAAGTTGACAATGAAAGATTTATGGTTTTAGTTTAATTTAAAAGAAAGCCATGAATCGGGCCAGACCTGAAGCGTGTTGAGTCAGCAGACCCTGCAGCGTCATAGACGAGGGGACAATTTGATATACTGGTAGGAACCTCCTGGTTACATCAGCCCACTGGGGATTATTGTGTTCGTCCGTCGTGCAGGGAGGGGCTGGGTGGGGAGGGTGGGGAGGGGCTGGGTGGGGAGGGAGGATGGGGAGGGGCTGGGTGGGGATGGTGGGGAGGGGCTAGGTGGGGAGGGTGGGGAGGGGCTGGGTGGGGAGGGTGGGGCTGGGTGGGGAGGGGCTGGTCACCCCGTGGTGCCCATATAAAACTCAACGTTTAACCTACTCACGGCGGCTTGTGCCCGCCCACAGTCGGCCATATTTGCGGAATACACCACGCCGCCGTTGACCCTGGCCATTGACCGAACAACCCAACGTTCCTACCAGCTCGCTCTCTCCACAGGAATGTGTTTATTTTCACGTATATCCCATCACGATCTTCTGGGAGTGTACACTTTCACAGCGGCATTCACCGCAAGACGAGCAAAACTCTGGACCCGTTTTGACGCACGGTGTCTCATCAGCAGCCAGGCTTGCTTGTGAACGAGTGAGTGCCGGTGAACTGCTCGTCTTGCAACATTCAACAGCAATACACAACTCGAATTGATCGTGAGCGGTGGGTGGGCGTGACACAGTCAATTATTTTAAACTAACTTTCAACATCGTTAAACGCTGAGCAGAAAAGCGTAACCATGCAGGCCTGCTCTCGTGTGTCGTGCATGCCGCCCCCGCTCTGCCCCCCCCCCCCCGCTCTGCCCCCCCCCCCGCTCTGCCCCCCCCCCCGCTCTGCCCCCCACTCTGTACGAGGGAGGGACGCTCTGACGCTCGTTCATTTGTCAGCCCCCCGCCCAAAACGACCGCAGGCGGATCGTCTGTCGCCTGCTCGGAGCAGGCGGTTTGCACCTCGCCAGATCGGGCGGTGCAGCACAAAGGTCGGGCAAGGCAAAGCGACTGGCACGGCATAATCGAGGGAAGTCACGCGAGGAGGGCTCCGTCATGAACGTGGCCCGGGACGTCAGAACCTTCCAGTCGCGTGCGTGTGGCCGGAGGCCAAATCCCACATCTCCACCCACTAACCCCATTTACCATCTCCACCCACAAACCCCACCCTGTCAACATCTCCACCCACTAATCCCATCCACCATCTCCACCCACAAACCCCACCCTGTCAACATCTCCGCCCACTAATCCCACCCCGTCACCATCTCCACCCACTAATCCCATCCACCATCTGCACCCACTAACCCCACCCTGTCACCATCTCCACCCACTAATCCCATCCACCATCTGCACACACTAATCCCATTCACCATCTCCACCCACTAATCCCACCCTGTCACCATCTCCACCCACTAATCCCATTCACAATCTCCGCCCACTAATTCCATTCACCATCTCTACCCACTAACCCCACCCTGCCATCATCTCAACAGTCACAACCCACGAACCTCACCCACCATTTCGACCTACTAACACTCACCCACCCTCCACCGTCCTGACCCACTAACACTCACCCGCCCTCCACACACTCGCCTCACCATGCCACCATCTCAACCATCACCACTCACTTAACCTTGCCCATCACCTCCGCCATTGCCTACCATCCCCAATCACTAACCTCATCCACCACCTCTACCATCTCCACCCACTAACCCAACCTCATCTACTCCGCCATCTCCACCCACTCACCCAACCTCACCGCTGTCTCCACCCACTAACCTCACCACCCACCACCAACTCAGACCTCGCCGCGTTCCCACGATAAGCCAGTGGGGACCCCTCGACCCCACAGCCACAACAACACCCCCGCCCCCTCATATGCTAGCCACAGCCCTCTCCTCCTCCTCCTGCCAGAGCCACCAGGTTGAGCTCGTCACACCCGTCGGACCGGGCTGGGCTGCTCTCCCTGCTGCTGGTGCTGTGAGGTCACTGGTGCGTCAACCCCCGGGGCTAGGGCGCGCCTTCGCACCCATCGATTCACACCAGTGGAGATTCGTCTTGGTGGGTGGGGGGGTAGGGATGCTGTGTCGAAAACTTCTGCGCTTTATTCCACGGAGCACTCTTTTGCAAGCGAGCAATCGTCTCGACATTTGACCGATAAAAACGGCAGCTTTTAGAACCCTCCTAAGGAGTTTGAGGTCCTCATGCCGTGACGTCCGTGCTCCCTATCTGCCTGTCATCCGCGCTTTGTCAAATACGTTTCGGAGCGCAAGCTTTGTCGGCCCTTGGCACTCAAGATTTGGAACGCTCTGAAGAGCCGCGCCTGGCCACCGAGTTTTTCCCAATCACGAACTAAAAACTCACCGATTTTCTCAGCTATGTTTGGTGCACTGGAGATGGGTTTTCCCCATCCTCTGTATACATTTTACTGTACGGCACGCTTTGAAGCCCCTGCTGCGACTTCTAAAAATGTAAAATTAAATTTAAAAAAGTAAAAATGTTGCGTGCTCGTTACGTGGAAGTTTAATATACATTTACACCGTCGTCATCATAAGCCATGGTCGATCTACTGCTGGATGGGAGGCTTCCCCTGCCACCTCAGCCCCGCTCTCGATCCTGCGCTGTGACAAAGCACCCGATACCTGCTCACGAACAGATTTAATCGCTCCATCTCCCCGGCGGACATTCTTCCGGACGCGCTTCTGGCCAGGACGTTTCCTGCCCGAGCTTCGCTCACTCCTCTCGAAAGTTTGAATCGTCAACCGCCATATGAATTTTATGGCGGTACCCCGGGGAACCGCACAATTTCCGCGATGCAGTCATTTTTAGTCTGTTGATGGTCGGCGATGCGGCAATCGACTCATCTCGACGAGCTGTACACGATGCACCACCACGGTGCGTGCGAGCATTCAGGGTTTCGGCGCGATCGTCTTCGCTGCGTTTTGACATCGCGGAGTAGCACTGAGTTCGTATTGATTGGTACCCCAATCGCGGAGTTAAGTACACCCCTGGACAAAAATATTGTCCCAGAAATAAAATATTTAATTGCCTCGGCCATTTTGTATTATTTGGTACCCCGAGGTACCGCCATAAGGATAATTTATTCTCGTACGTGCATGAGCCTATTTCTGTACCTCAGTGCAATTCGAAGAATGCGTCTCAAACATGCTTCCTTGTGCACTATTCGGTAATACAAAAAACAGTACCGAGTTTATTTATTTATTGCGTCGAAGGTGTGCTGGAGTCAAGGTCAGCCCGTGAAAGTGGCGCTAAGACTCTCAAATAAAAGATAATAAAAAAACTCTTCAATAGCAACAACAGCAGCCATTCGCCACCAAGTGGCAGCAATTCCACCACAGCGCGTGTGCCAGGCGAGGTGCACTTTGAGGCGGTGGAGCGAATGGCACGCCATCGGAAAGTTGCGAATTAAAATCCTGATTGAGGGGTTGACTCATTACCCCTCCGCTGTCGATACAATTATTACCAAATTGTGGGGAAGTCAACAGTGGTTGCCTTGTGGATCGGCTCGCCCCGGCCACGGGAATGTGAAATATCCATCACCGGCTCAGGGCTGTAAACACGAGATGAGCGCCGCATCGATGCTCATTGGGCACGAAACGACTTTGACTTTCTTTATTAAGTGTCGAGGGCTCGCTGCTGGTCAGTCACAACACAATCCCAGGTGTTACAGATAAGGTAAGGCTCACTGAGCTAGTGTATATAGCTCTTATTCAGAAGCAACCTGGCCACAAATTATAGCTCAGCGAAGTGGCTTATCACATGGAAATTTATCGCAGCCAAATACTCCAAACGCTTGTTTCTAAATGTGGGGGGGAAAAACCGGAGGACCCCGACAAAAATCCACGCGACCACGGAGAGAGAAAGAGACACGCAAACTCCAAATATACAGCACACGTCAGGGTCGGGATCGAACCCACGACCTTCACTACACCATGTGAGGTAGTTAACATCTCACCACCGTGGCGTCTTCGCAGGGAAATCTCTACGGCTGTACACAAGTGCACACAAGGTCACCCATTCATGAACTGGTGAGCTCAGAGACTTCTCTGTTACCAAACCGATGCAAGGAAATACTTGACGAGAACAAGATGACAAAGCATAGGAAATAAATAAAAAATCCTCAACACAGACGTGTTTGTGATTGCATTCAACGTACTGTTCAACTGTGAATCACCGGGCCCGACCACCTCAATGTCAGCCGTACGTGGACGTTCAAAGGCAACGTACCGTGTGGTTGTTGGCGGTGTACGAAGTGGTCGGCGGTCTCTCCACGCGACGTTTCCAGCTCTCGCTCGTCCTCTGCTCCACGACTCCTCCACCTCCTCCACCTCCTCCACCTCCGCCTCCGCTCCCTTTCGATGTCGATTCCTCAAACACCCAGTCCTGCTCGTCGCTGCTCCTAGACAATCGCATCCGCACCCATGGGCACCACGACAATGAGCGGCCAGCAAACCCGTCCACATCATCCGTGTATCGCCACGGTGGCTTGGAGATGTTAACTACCTCTCCTGGTATGCAGGAGGTCGTGGGTTCGATCCCGACCCTGACACCTGTTGCATATTTTGAGTTTGCGCGTCTCTCTCTCCCCATGGCTGCGTGGAGTTTTCTCGGGGTCCTCCGGTTTTACCCCCTACATTTAGAAATATGCTTTCGAGTAGTTGGCTGCTATCAATTTCCACATGATGAGCCACTTCGTTGGGCTATCACTTATGCCCAGGTCGCTGCTGAAAAGGAGCTATACAGCTCAGTGGGCCTTACCTAGTAATATAAAACGTTTAGTTTTTAATCTTGATTTGAAGCTTTCGTGACTGCAGGAATCCATACTCTTTGGTTCTTTTGGTAAAGTCACGGAGGTAGAAAATAAAATAAATCACGACGTTTCGGGCACAACACAAGCATGGGAAAGCAGTTGCTTTCCCACCTCATCCCTATTGAGTAGTTTGGAGGTAACTGTTCAGCACTGGGATGTTCTCACATCTAAAACCTATTACATTGTATGTTTTTTTTTTATCTATGGGAGGAAACTGGAGAACCCGGAGAAAACCTATGCAGAACAGCTGTGAGGCACAAGTGCTAAAACTGTGCCACCCTGCCGTCCAATGCACTTAACACTTGGTCAGTTCTGCTCATGAGGGCGAGTGTGTTTGTGAGTCAGCGGGGAGCGGTAAGTGTAGTGGTGAGCGCACTGCGCTACGAACCCGATGACCCGAGTTTGATGTGTACTCATGGCCAACATCGGTGACAAATATCTGAGTCAGTCCTGGACCTCCCTTATGTCGACTCAGCCTTAATCGAGTACCCGATGAGGTGTGTAAACATCGCCACTGGGGAGGCAGTCGGCGTTGGCGTTGGCCACCTACCCCGTCGTGTGCCGTTTCGGCCTCTATAGGTGCTACTTGCTAACAGCGCTTGCGCCAACATTCATTACGGCTATACGGGGCGGACTTTGTCAGACTGAGTCACGTCCACGCGAGCGGCTCTGTGTGTGTGTGTGGCTTGAACGCACTGGCTGTAGCGCTGCCCCTGCATGCGGGCCTTGTATCCCAGGAGGTCGTTCTGGATGAGGATGAGGTTCACCAAAAGCATCTCCTTCCGGGCGAGCAGATGCTGCTGACGCTGTGGAAACACAACACAACACAAACACACGGCACACCGCCAACGGTACTGTGTTTGCGTTGAGTTCGATTAACCGGGTGAGAACTCGGAGAGGGCAATCCGAGTCTCATTTGGAGTCTTATTCGAGACTCGGATTGGCCTGGGTCACTGAAATCTCAAAAAGCAACAAAGTGAATAGAAGTGAGAGCGGTACAACCGCTTTACGAGAGAAATGTAAAACATTAACATTTCACGAGCATGAATCGACGTTGAACAATAACACTCCCGGCAGCGCAAGTCGGCTCGGGCAGTACGATTACAAAATTAAGCTACAGGAACTTTAAAGATGTACAAGGTGACTTTGTGCTCATATGTAAACAAATACAAGGATATACGAGTGAAATGCATTGTCAAGTTTATCGCAGAAAATTTAGAGTTATATCCGATATGAAGCGCTTCATGCACTGTGTCCACCGTGGTGGACTGCGAAAGATGTGATGGCGTTTCCGCCGCCAGTGCAGTCTTCTCCATTTAGCGTAGCCACATGGTCGTGGACAACTCAACGTGGCCTACCTGGTGGTGGACAATGTGACAGACGTCCTCTGCAATGGACGTTGCGATAATATTGTGGACAATTAACTCAAAATGTTTTCTCCGCATGTTTGGAAGGGGGCGTTCCGTTGACCAAAATCACACGCAGCCAATGCGTTTGCTTGTAAGGGCTCGTGCATGAGAGGATGAACCCTTTGCCATTCCGATTCCATTCCGATGACATACATCTACGTCATCAGAACGGAACAATGTCTTTAAAAGCAACGGCGCTACTACGCCTCTCGAGATTCAGCGGTGAACGGGGACACCCACCCTGCAACTTGTAGAAGTCTCGGAAGAGGAAAGGGTTGAAAAATCACGCAGCTCAGCGCGATTATTGAGTTGACTTACACTTGCTTCCGATCGATTGCACGCACGCACGCACACACGTACACATGTACACACGCACGCTCACCTTGCTGTCGACGTTTCCGCGCTCCTCGGCCTCGATCTCTCGCACCTGGTTCGCCAGGTCCTGGATGCTCGCCTCGAACTCCCGCTCCTCATAATCGGAGAGCCCCACGCCCCGCAAGAGACGCAGCGTCTGCACGGAGTCCACGGGCAACAGGGGCTGAGCGGCGGCGGCGATGGAGGCGGCGTTCGCCGCTCATTGCAGAGGCGTCCGCGCGGTTCGAGCACGGTGACTGCCCCGGTTAATACTGCCGCGTGCATTAACTGTTAACGCACCGCGCATCATCTGCGTCGCGGTGGACTTTTAAAGATCCCGTGACGTAATTTGTAAAACAGTCGTAGGCCGTGCGCGCCAGTGTCACAGTCCACAATTGCCAAAGAAAATAATTGTACTACCGCTGTCTTCCTGACGCAAGTCTTTAAATCTCTTCATTGCTTTGCCCCACTTTATCTCGCCTCTCTCATCCAACGTCTGCCACGAGCACATTCTCTGCATTGGCTGTCATTCCACAAACCAGTCTTGGTCCATCTGCCATCTCCCCTTCGAGAGATGCGGTCTGCTCAAGCCCACCGACTTTCACGCAAGAGCGCCTTCGTTGTCTGCCCAGCGCCAATCTTTACAAACCGCACCAGGCGCTCCGTATGAGGCTCAGTCAACCTAGGGGAGGCCTGGTCACCAGATCAAATATTCGCCGCTGATGCGCTCCCCAAGACGCTCCCAACACGCGGAGCGAAACATCGTGCCGAACAACTCGCGGTACGGCGAGAAAACACGGCGTCAAAAAAACACCCGTGACAGCTACGACTATTGCGCTTGCCTGGCAAAGGGCAGCGGTAAGCGCCCTTCTACCACAGCCAGTTCCCTCAGAGCAGCAGCAGCAGCACTCCGTGTCTCTGGAGTCGAGTGGTCGCTCAAAACCACGGGAATTGACGCGGCGGCCGGCATCGGCTATCGCCACGGCTACCGCGGCGGTGGCCGACGTCGACGACGATCGGCTGTCGGTGGCTTACGGCAAGGCCGTAGCCATGGAGTCAACATTGGGGGGATCAAATCTTCCAGGGGGTCTGGGGGTCCCCCCCCCCCCAGAAAAAAAATCTAAATTTGAAAACGAATTTCCTGCCTAAAATATTTACAAATTCACTAACACATTGGATGGACTTTTTATTTATTTTTCACAATAATGTCTAATAGTGTATTGTATTACATTGCTATGTTTTTTTCTTTTCTACCTTTTCTTGTTTCATTGTATGTAATGGCAGAGATTAGGGATTAATAAAGTACAACCATAACCACAATCATATAAACAGAAATCTATTTTACAGCAACATATTGGGGGGGGGGGGGACATTTTGAGCATATTTGAATACTGGGGGGGGGATGTGTCCCCCCCCCAATATATATTATAATGACGGCCTTGGCTTACGGTGTCGAGGGTGCTACGCAGAGTGTCGCGTGAGGAAGATGGCGCGGGTGCCCGCGAGCGCGAGCTGGAGCGGTGGAAGCTCACGTTCCTCTGCAGGGCCGCGGGGCCTCGCGCACGCACCTGCTGGGGAACACGCGTGCCGACACGCCCGGGGTCAGCTAAAAACCACGCGCGCGCGCATGGATTGTCAGTCGTGAAACGCTTTCCACCACGCGCTCGCCTGGGCGTGTGTGTGCGTGAGTGTATGTGCATGTGGATGCGTGGGGAGCGGTAGGGCAGCGGTTAGCGCGCTGCGCTACGAACCCGGCGACCCGAGTTCAATTCCCGCTCTATGAACAACACCGGTGACGATTATCTGAACCGGTCCTGGGCCTCCCCTAGGTGGACTCAGCCTCAAATGAGTACCTGGTGAGGTGTGTAAACATCGCCACTGGAGAGACAAAGGCGGCTGGACGTGGTGTTGGCCACCCAACCCTTACGTGTACCGTTCCGGCCTTCATAGGTGCTCGCTAACAGCACTTGCCCCAGCAGTCTGTTAAGGCTACACGGGGGATTTTTGTCTTTTTTTGCTTTGTCATTGGCCGCTGGTGGCTATGCACACGGCCTGTAACCCAGCATTGTGGAGGTGAAAGTTGGTGGATCACGCAAATGTGGTGAAAATCCCTTCCCCGTGGGTAGGCGTCGAGGATGAGCCCTGCCTTAAGCTCGCCAGAAGGCGGTACAGCTAAAAAGATGTGGACTCCACCTGTTCCCTCTGTATGTAAATCGAGTGTTTCCCCCTCGTACGCGTGGCTCTGGATTTTTCTCCCACATTTAAGCACTCATTCATTAGCCGAGAACACTTTCATGTATATAGAGAACTGCAGAGCTTGGGTAATTGTTGGCGCCGGCTCAGTGGGACTGCTTTCCAGCTCGTTTATGGTCACGTGTGGTGGCGCGTGGCAAGCTGAAATTATTTCTATACACATCGGATATATTCAGCGAGCGCTACGAAAGACAAGGATGGGGGGCCGTCAGGGCGAAATGGGTTTTCCATATTTGCAAAGTCCTTTTTCCACTCTGGATTTTATGTCTCCAGCTTTTGGGCAACCCCTTTGATGAATTTGGTCAGTTTCCATTTCAAGGAAGTCCCAAATGGCAACGTAACTTTATCCTTACAGTTCGGATCACAACGGATCAATCATCGTGCCGTCCTATATTTCACTCTTTTTTGGCGCTTAACGAATCATGTCCAAAATTGCACTCGGCACGATCTCCTGACAATAAACAAAATTAACGCCGTTCATCTATTAAACTCTCTATTTAGTTAACTTTGAAAGTAATAACAGACACAACGTTTCAGTAACCAGAGCAAACCGTCTTTCTCACCTGCATCGACTTTCAAAAGATTGCATCACCAGCAGTTGGCGTTAATGTCACACACACAGTGCATGTTTTCTGCACACTATCAAAGCGTGTTCTTGCCCCTCTCCCCCACCACCTCTGTGAGGGACGGATGGTTCAAATCGAGTACCGATTTTTTTTTTACGCGCTGCGCCAGGTCCTCATTCAATAAGGCCGAGTTGACCTAAGAGAGGTCCAGAAGTGGGTTCAGATATTTGCCACCCTGTGTTGGCTGTGAGCGGGAGGGATCGAACTCGGTCCGTCGGGTCTCACAGCGCGGTCGGTGCGCTGAACCACTACGCCGCCGCTCCCCCCCCAAAGCACAACACGACGGCACGTGCCGGATTATCGTAGTAGCACAAGTAGCTACATAATTATGCTACGGGCCCCGCGCTTTCAAGGGCCCCGCGCTATATGCTTTCAAGCTATCAATTTTGGTTCAGTGATTCTGTGCTTGCTCTATTACTATAGTACTATACCGCCTTCAGCTTTTATGAACGACTGGGTGTTTAAGGTTAGCAATTTGTCGTATTATCCGGCCGTATTACAAATAAAAAAATACAATTACTTTACAATGCAGGGCCCTTTTATAACATATGCTAGAGGCCCCGCACTAGCTTAATCCGGCACTGATTGCAGGGCGAGGTGGCTTCGGCATGCCCCACAAAGACCGGCCGTGACATGCTGGGCATCTTAATTCACCCGTTTATACAAATGCAAAGCGTACGGCGCCTTTTGTCACTATCGGGATAAGTCGTGAGACGTCTAAGTTGGTTTGCGCTCCGGGTTGCCTGGGTGAAAAATGTGCGCTGCGAAATGCCCGTGCAGTCCTGGCCCAGGCTGGCTCAAAGACTCAAGACAACAATGACAAAACGACCGCCAGTCCACCGTTCAGGGATCAGGGCTTTTCCCCCATGCCTCGTGTGTGTCGGGTGGTTGCCCTTTGACCCAATACTCGACCAACGCTGGTCAATGCGGGTCGGTGAAGAGCACAGGAACAGTGAACGTGCCGCGGCTGAAACACGACACACATTAATAATGCACACACACGGCGCGGTGGTGTTTTTTGTAAGAGAATTTCTCCCCGGGGCAGAGAAAAAAAAACTGCACTGTAACGTGAATAGCTCTCTACGTGGGCCGTGCCGCCATTTTACGAGTGAGGCGTTCTTCCAGTGGAACGAGTGGATGGCCTCAGCATCGCCTCCCGTTACCAATAATTGCACACACACACCCATAAAAAAGTTATCATCGCACTTAAGTTGGCTAAATTAGTTTGTTTGACCGTCACGCGACGAAAGTTTGCTCTTAGTGGCAGGGCGTGTGGCAAAGCACCGCCCTCTACTGTCTGAACCGAAGTGTCATTTGAAGAAGGGATTTAAGATGTAGCCCTGTGGTAGCCACTTCCGTGGACTGCTCTCGAAATCGAACGTGGAGGGGTGCGGGTGGCTGCTCTGCGCGAGATCTGAAAGGGATTCTTTGTCCCGTGACACGACAACCGATATCGCGATCAGGACGAAACTGTGGAAAAATAAAAACGCTGACCAATTATTATTAATCCAGTCTGCCGAATGGGGATGTGATCCGATAGCCCCCCCACCCCCGCCACTACCCACAACTGCGGTGCCACCTATGCTGCGGCAGTTCATTCGCTCATTATGAATTCATCACTGGAAGGAGGCTGCACGTGGTTAACATTGCCCCTTGGTGCAAGGAGACAACAGAGTGACATGCCCCCACCACCCACCTCGAGTTCCATCGCTGCCTCCACGTGCCGATGACGTCTTGCCAGAACTTGACAACAACCGCCCCCTTTTCCCGAGTCTCAACGATTTGCCACCACCCTGGGACAAGACGCTTGAAGGTGGCCCGCACCCTGCCTACAAGCCGGCACCACAGGGCCTCTTCCCGCTCTTTGCCGGCTCGCGCTCGGGGGCCACCGACCTCCCGACCCGGTGACCCCGGGCGGCCGGTCGCGTCGCCCGCACGCGAACTTTACCACCACCACCACCACCGCCACCACGACCACCTCACCTCTCCACCGGCGTTGCCCACGTTCCTGAAGGCGAACAGGCTCCAGATGTTGGGCAGCTCGAAGGTCTCGGTGCGCACGTCGTATGCCGTGGGCGACAAGGGGCCCCCGCCGCCTCCCGGGGACATCTCCATCGCGCCCCCCTCCATCATCGCCGGGCCGTTCCCTGGGCTCCCCATCGCACCCCCCTCCATCGTCGCCCCCCACGGGCGTCCCAGGGTGCCCGAGCCACCCCCGCCGGGCCCTCCGTTGAGCCGCCCGCCGCCAGGGAGCGAGGGGAGCGTTGAGAAGCGTGCGGGGACGCGCCTCATGGAGCCGATGCCCTCGCCGCTGCCCGTGTGACGGTTCATGGACGCCATGGGGCCGGCAGTGGCGATGGTGGCAGCGGTGGCAGCGGCGTCTGCATTATTCGCGGAACAGACAGCATCCGACGAGGACAAAGTCAACATCGTCGCCATCGTTAGGCAACGCTTCGGTGTCGCGGGTCGCCGATACGAGGGTCAAACGAAATTATTTTGGCGAGGCTGCTGCTGCGTTGGCAGTGGTGTACGAGCGCCAACAACAACAAAAACTCAGCACGTTTGTTGATAAACACTGCTTATGGCCTTCTTCAGTGTACATAGAGACGGTAAGGAAGTGGAGTCAGTGCCGGATTAAGCTAGTGCGAGGCCTGAAGCGTATGTTATAAAGAGGCCCTACATTTTTAAAAATATTTAAAAAAAATGTACTTGTATAGTAAAGTAATTCGATTTTTTCATTTGCTTTACAGCCAGATAATACGACAAATCTCTAACCTTAAACACCCAGTCGTTCGTTAAAGTTGAAGGCGGTATAGTACTATAGTAATAGAGCAAGTGCAAATTGATAGCTTGAAAGCATTTAGCGCGGGGCCCTTGAAAGTGTGGGGCCCATAGCATATGTCGCTACTTTTGCTACTCGGATAATCTGGCATTGGATGGAGTGGATAACTTTCTTAACTTTCATTTTGATTTTACCTTGTAAGGCGATGTGCCTCTTTTTCAGAAGCGACCTGGTTAGCACAAATGATAGCTCAACGAAGTGGCTTATTGTTGCGTGGAAATGTATCACGTTGTTGATTCTAAATATGGAGGGGAAAAAACCTGAGGACCCAGAGTTGGGAGAGCAGCGCTAAATATACCATATGGCGTAATAAGAATCACATTATAAAAAAAATATTTTTTATCTTTTTACGTGGTTCACTTCGCGACGCATTCCCGGGCCCACTTGGAATTGTTTGAACGTTTTTGATGCACTGTGGCACCTCTGAGCGGCTTGCCGCGGGATCACGTGAGCTAATTATCTTTACACGCTACATATTTGGTGCACAAGCACAGGTTACAAAGAAAACTCAATACATCCGTCAATAGCGCTGCCCTTGCCCAGAGCGTCGCCTATTATGGATTTTTGTTTTCTCTTTTAAGGCCACACATGTGGTGGTATTGACGAACTCTTTGTCAATCCACTGCTGAAAGAAGGCCTCAATCTCCATCCCATGTCAGTCGTGGGAGAGGACCACTGACCATACTTCACCAGATCGGTGATGGAGGCAGGCCAGGACCGGGTTCGGATATTGTTCATTATCCGTGGATAGCAATGGAACTCGGGCTGCTTGATTCACATGGAATTGCGTCATCCGCTGTTCCACCGCTGCCCTCACAACACACACACGAATAAAAAATCTAATCTAATTCGTAAGATCTGATCCGTGTCAAATTATGGATTGCAGTCAAAGAATGGATCCATCGTTACGCCCCGTAATGTAATACAGCCAAGGACCTTTCTTGACCACAAAATATGCGTGAAACCGGTCTTACAGTTGTTTCACACTTGCCTAAAGGGACGGCCACAGTTTCAAAAGCTATTGAGTTCGTGCCCAGCAATACGTGCAGTGTTGCACATTTCGCTGAGTGCTCGGAACAAACATCATTACACTCTCACGTTTCAGTGCCTTTTGGAAGCGGTGGTCTCGACAAGGCTGAGGACGCTGTGAATGCAAGTGCGGTGGTGGTCACGTAGCACGAACGCACGCCCGGCGTGTATACGGACGTCCTGTTTGCGAGTGGCACCGCATCTTTGCGAGATGCGGTTTCTGTCCGCTTCCTACCAACACGCGTGTCCCCCGTTTTTTCTGGGGTTTTTGTCTTTCTTTTACATGAATTTAAACACAATGTGCTCGGTTCGAATGATCGAAAGCAAACACCGCTCAACAGCAGCCGATGCGAAATTGCCCTATGTCAATCAACGCGAAGGTGTTCGTGGGTGAATTTTCCAAAAAAACGTCTCAGTTTTCTCAGGGCTCCGACAATAATCTCTCTGGCCTCCCTTCGCAATGGCCCTGCTCTTAAGCAGAGCCATTGCCCGAAACATAAACCTATGATATATTTCTTCAGTTATAAAAATATATATTTTTATTCCCGCACCTCCGATTAGCACTGTTGGCTCCAAAGAAGTTCAACAAACATACAACGTAGTAGGTAGTGCGACTGATCAGTGTGACGAATGTTGTTTTTACACTATTTGCGCCAAAGCTAATATTTACGGTACAGTAAGAGCATATTTGCGAATGTGATCATAATGGCAGCTGAACCATCAATACAGGATGTCATTGGAACATGCGGCCTTCAATTGCTTCTGCTCTAGTAATCTCCACGATTGTATTTCACACGTTCTAGTCCGATCCCAAGTACGGATTGCAGGTACTGGTGCATGATAGTGCTCAATCAAAGGGGCGGTGGTAGCTATGCACGCCTGTAATCGAGCACTGGTGGCTCACACACAGAGATGTTGTGAAACTCCCTTTCAACAGGTGTCGATGTGAAGCCATACCCTCGATTGCCAGGAGAAGGCGGTACAGCAAAATTCGGACTCCACCTGTTCAATCTCTATGGGATATCGCGTTGCCCCCTCGCCCGCGTGGGCTTTCTCGGGGCACTCCTGCTTCCTGTCACATGTATAAATGCTCATTTGATTGGCCGATAAAACCTTCATATTTAGAGGAACACAGAGCTTGGGCAATTGTTGACAGCGCCAGCTCACCCCATGGTTGCTGGTGCCTTCCCGCTTGTCAGATGCGCTTCTGCAGCCGTCTGGAACGCTCTTGCTTCCGATATTAGGAAGCCTATGTCCTTTCAAATCATCTACATCGAGGACCAATTTCTTATTTACAGTTTGTTGTCCTTAACCCGCACCTCCGATTAGCAGGGCTGGTTATGTACGGTGCGAAAAATGCTCAACGTTCATAGTCTGTGCTTTCTCCTTGTATCTCCGAGTCGTCCTCTCTAAGTCTCCGAGGGCGAGTGGATACTTTGCGGCAGTATGTAACCATTTGAACTTACTCCATGGGACCTCCCTTGCCGGTATATCAAAATATTAGAAGAGGTTTGACACTTTCTGGCAATGAAACAAGGTGTGTTAAGAATATGCAAAAAGTGGCGGTTTTCAAATTTTCTTGCTGTGGTTTGCACACCCGAGGATGATTGCTTGTGTTGCAATCGAAACGTCGTGATAATTCGATTGTTTTATTTTTATTATTTTATTATTTCCCTTCTACATGACTTTACCGAAAGAACCAAGAATATGAATCCCTGCAGTCACGAAAGCTTTAAATCGAAGTGTGTTAAGATGTTAAAACAGCAAACTGAAACCTTTTGCAATGAATCATGTCTGCACTAACCACATATACTTGTGGTGAACATTCAAACAAAAACATGCAATTTTTTTTGCTTCGTGTTTGTTTTTTGTTGTTGTTTGGTGCTTTAACATCTTAACACAGCTGTTTTATTGCCAGAAAGTGTAAGACATATTCTTATATTTTTATCCTGGCAAGGCAGGTCCCATGATATAGCTGCTCACGCCGGACTCTCAATGCCCTGAGAGTGGCATGGTCCTTGTGCTGTTTGCCTTTTGGCGTCCTCTGGTCTAACACCGTTTGAGACGAGGCTCGAGAGAAAGATGTCTCTGGTGTGGACCAATCAGTTTCATAGACAATGCATCATATACTATCAGAGCGTGTTTTTGTTTGCATGTTCACCACGAGTATAATGTGGTGAATGCAGACAGGATTCCTTGCAAAAGGTTTCGGTTTTATGCTTTAACATTTTTACGCAGCGCTCCCCTACCCCCCCCCTCCTCTCTCTATCTCTCCCCCCTTGCTCCTCCCCCCCTCTCTCACCTATATAACCTCTTGTCACGGCAGCTCTCTGGCCCACTTCAGCAATTGTTTCTTGCTGTGGTTGTCCCACCTGATGACGGACGCTTGTGTTGCGCCCGAAACGTCGTGATTTATTTTATTTTAAACCTACGTGACTTTACCGATAGAACCAAAGAGTATGGATACCCTGCAGTCACGAAAACTTCTAATCTAGATTTTTTTTACGGCTGTTTTATTTCCAGAAAGGGTCACACCTATCCTTATAAGTTGAACTTCGTATTACAGGTAGTAGTTCTGCGATGCGATAACCACTTCTGCGGGTCGTTGTCTGGGACACACAGTGGGTTGCATTGTTCCACGAGAACTCATCTACGTGCAACGATTGCGGCGGTGTGTTGGGGGTCGGGGAAGCAGGCCGCGAACATTACATTTTCTTGAGTCGATGGTTATCGGAAGATCAGATGCATCGCCCAGTAGCTGGGTGGCTTTGTCGGCTGTCAAACAAATCACGAATGATTTAATAAAGCTCGAGCCACGGCCATGCGGGCCGCGAACACGCCCTCGACTCACGCGGGTGACGCTGCATCGCACGCGGCAGGCAGCCTGGGGGGATGGAGGGAGCGAGAGAGCCCCAAGTATGATCTGTGTTTTGATTTAGTGTGCTGATCTTAAAGGTGCATTGAAAAACTTTGATACTCCGACTGATGCTCCTGCTGTTGTGGAGTGACGCGTGCAGCCAGCCATGGCTGCAGGGTTTGGTGGTACGTGTTGTTTATGTCGTTTATTGTGAAAATTCGGTCACAGTTCCCTATGATCACTGCTACATTGCTTTTATGGCTTTATTTTGGTGATTTAGAAAACTTTTTTGGTTTGTTGTAGTACGGAGTTAGACTGATGGCCTTAATCTAAGTTGTCTTGTGGTTGGTGTTGTTGTTTGACTTACATCCCACTGGGATTTTTGCACACAGCGTTGGTGTATGGTGCTTTTTCTGCAATATTTTGCTGTCTTTTCTTGGATTTCCTGTTTGCACATAGTCACTTTAAGATGTTTTCTTGTTCATGTTTTTGTTTTTTGTTTGTTGCGGTTGCACCCGATTCAAGAGCCGAATGGCTCACAGGGCTGCGAGAGGCACGGTTCCAAAGCCCCGGACTAAACTGGTGTCACCATTCTGGTGAGATTTGGAGGCGCCGTGGTGGTTGAGATGTCATCTCCCTCGCCTGCTATGGGG